CACACACACACACACACACACACACACACACACACACACACACACACACACACACACACACACGAAAAAAGAGAAGACTTGTGCACTAATGAAATGAGGCAAGTCTTTGAAGATTCCATACATTACATCAAAACATCCCTGGGCAGGAGGCAAACTCCCTAAAAACTTCTAACTGTCGTCTAAATTATTCTGGATGTGTTCACATCTCACTGGGATTCATTCAAGGACACCCAGCGCAGCTTTAGGCTCGTGTTGCGTTCACCAACTCAGCGCTGATGTTACTTTTATACCAAAAATAGGCACAGAGGAAAATGAAGCTGATGAAATGTTTGAGAGGACGAGGCTCCAGTGTCACTGTGTGCATGTAGCAGAAAGGAGAGAAAAAGAAAATGGCAAGGAAGAATGTGATAGAGAGAGAGAAGAAAGTAATGGAGCATAAATAACAGGTATAGAAAAAAAGATAAACCTGATAAACTGAAGAGAAAGAATCCTGAGCTGAACCGACAGGGAGTTTTAACAGTTTAACTGCAGCCTCCAGCGGCAGCCACATCCCAGTGAGAGAGTCCCAAAGCAGAGGAACAACAACAGACGGCGTTTAGAGCTCGTTTGAAGACGTCTGTCGGACTTCAGTCTGATCTGACCCAAACCCACAGGGAGACGCAGCGACTCAACATCCTGCTTTCTCACTGAGGGCTGAAGATTTGGAGAGAAATCAAGAGCGGATGACGATGTTGAAACCACAGTGATCGTGCTGTTCAGTGCATTGGAGAGAAAATCAGTTTTTAAAACACTAAACGTGGTAAAGCTCCACATTCTGGTCAGTTTCAACTTTTACGTCTTACAGCGTTTTTATAGCATCAAATAACGAATTAAAGCCAAATCAAGAAACTAACACTTACACATCAGTGTGATATGAACTGTGTGCAATGATGTAAATGTAAATCTTCTTTGACTTGCTGAGTATTGCCAATGTCCTATTTGCTAACATGGAGCAGGCAGGCTCCATGTTAGCAGGCAGGCTCCATGTTAGCAGGCACCCCCTGGTGGCTGCAGCCAGCCACCAGGGGGTTTTCACCTAATAAAGCAAACAGTCACTTAGTTTTAATAAAGTGTTGTTCATAGTTAGTTTTATATTTTTTCTCCTTCACGGATGCAAATGAGACTTTAGGAAACTTAAATACTGCTGAGTCACATCAACTGTTGTGTCCCAAAAACTGCAACCCATCAGCAGTCCACGTTTTCTGGCTTCCTGAATTCACATATGATGGAAGTGGCAGCCGTGCAAAAACAAAGCACCTCAGCTGAGCCTCATCAAAGGGAAATATAGCAGCCTGCCTGACGAGAGCGCTGAAATATTGATGCCTCACGCTCTTTACGGTGCTCATTAGGGAGAAGCGGGAGAAAAGGGGCTCCTGCCGTCCTAACAGCCTCTCTGAGTGTTTGTGTCTGGATCGAACACAGCCAACATGTCTGCGAGAGTGTGTGTGTGTGGACATGTTTGTATGTGGAGAGCATGTTTTTGCTGTGGTGGGTGGTCACATGATGGTTCACTGTAAAAAAAATAAAGTGAAAGTGGTTTGCCGAGGTATTTTTTGTCCAGGAGGATGTAGCACCACCCGGGCTCATCCCAACATCTCAAACCAATCGGCCTCCTCCACCACCCTCAACCCCGACAGGGACCCTGCCCTGTCTGCCTGTCTCTGGTATGTGGTGTATGTGGCTGCAGCAGCTGAGCTGAGGCAGCTCAAAAACACTCTCCAACCACCACTGCTCTTCTCAGCTCTCTGACAGAGCTGGTTTAGGAGCCGACATTTGACAGCTTTAAAACACTAGAAAACAAAGGAAAACATGAGCAGTGGTGGTTGGTGATGAAATGGAAAGAAAGACAAATTTGTCCAAGTGAACTTTTGCACTTATTAATTCGAGAAATACAAGTTATTCATTTGGATAAAAGCTGCCCCTCTGTAACTGGTCACACACTGAGGCTGATGATTAGCGGTCGCTCTTCTCCGGCCATCGGTAATCACATCATTATCAGCTGATTAAGCTCATTTTTGTCCCCAATTACAATGGCCTCTCGCTGCCTTCAAGGAAACAACCTTTTGAAGGTCAGCCAAGCTGCACTCCAGAGGACGGCCATCGGCATATTGCATTGCCTCGGGCGCCGATCACCCCAGAAACAGGGGGAACGCAGCCAAAACACAAACAAAGGAGGAGAGAAACCTGAACACGGGCCGATAGATGAAATATGTACAGAAAAAAAACTTCACACCTTATTAACAGATGAGAGACGGGGAAGGAAGAAGCAGAAATATTTTCTGGGCTGATGGTACAGTCAACATTCACACTCCTAACAAACACCACTTATACCTTTTTCCCTAACATAACCATAACCATTCCATGCCTAACCCTTACCTAAACTAAAATATTTTTGTCTTTTCAAAAAACTTCGTCGTCTTCAATTGGTGAGAAAACGGATGAGCAATCATTTAAATAAAATGCAGAAAAATTCCCTAGTGTGCCAACACTTTCTCAGTCAATTGACATATAATTGTTACTTGCAGCAAAGCTTAAATATATGCAAACATTTCTATCCATAACCTTCTCAACATTTGGTAATAATATATTTTCTTTGGTCACCAATGTGCGCATTTAGGGGCCTACTTCATTACAAACTCCATCCTGGTTATTTGAACAGATGTGATGCCTCTTTTAGCAGATGTTAACAGATATTAAATGTAAATATATTCTGAATTAACTTATCTTTTGGGCTCAGGTGGAGTCCCTGTATTAATTATCATTATGTGGGACAACAAAACCTGCAAGACTCACACGTCCGAAAAGGAATAACGGCAGAGTCTTTATTTGGGAATCAATTATGGCCAAAATTAGGATTAATACCGTCTTATGTTTTTTGTATTAAGAATTATTCAGAGTCTCATTGTCTCTGTATCAACTGTACATCTGGATTTAAACTGTGGGATTTTTAATATGAGCAGAAAATCTTTAGGATATGGCAGGAATCCTCTTAAGATATGTCCATTATCAACAAACACACAGACACACACACACACGCATGCACGCACGCACGCACGCACACACACACACAGATCCCTAGAGAGGGGCTTGTGTGTTTGATGCTGTTTGATGTGGCCCGCCTGTTTTAATCTGCTTATAATCACTCACCCCCTGGCAGAAAGTGTGTATGTGTGTGTGTGTCAGTGGAAAGATTAACATTCAAGGGAAGAGAGGAAAGCAAAAATGTAATAAAAAATAATCACATGCGATGTATTCACACTCATTTCATGGGCACACACACACACAACTTCTCTTTTGGGTGAGGAGGATGTCTGGCAGCCTCTCTTCTCACTTTCAATTTCTTGTCGCTTGTCTCAATAATGATGCCCTGCTGATATTGGTAGACACACACGCACGCGCACACAGGCGCGCACACACACACACACACACACACACNACACACACACACACACACACACACACAGCAGAGCCTATCCCGTGCAGGACATCATAGGACTGATATGGTGCCACCTGCTTCCACCATGTGCGCCAATTACGGCCCGGACATCTGCAGGCAGCTATAGCACAGCTCTTGGAACAAAAGAGCAGGCAGATGTGAGTCTAAGACACACACACGCGCTAACAACTTGCTGATGGACGATTGTTTAGTCATCCCTCATGGCAGCCATCCAGCACAAAGAGACTAGCCTGGGCCTGAGCACAAACACAATAAACGCACACACACTTACTGTAGCTCACAACTGCTGAGACACTGAACGTCCTCTCAAAGCTGCTGATTGATTCACTGTGACGATCAGGTTTTAACCGTCCTGTTGAAGTGTATGTGCTGCTCTCATACACGTATTTAAGACAACAATACATTCTGATCATCTAACGTTCATTTCCACACAAGTAATCTCCATATCAGGTATTCTTGGAGTCCTGCACTCAAGAGTCCATTGGTGCCTATTTCCTGTATACGGCTCCACTGATGCAGCAGCTTTTTATCTCCGAAGTGCTCATCACTCTGGCTGCAGAAATATAAAGGTGATGATGGCTCCTTCTTTCCTCTACAAAGGCTGATCAGCACACAAAGAATCCACTTCCCTCTGCTCTGTTCTTGCTGATATGGCAGGGTCACAATTAGTGTGCTGAAAGCTTTATAATGCTGTGTGTGCTGAAAGCCTTACAATGCTAGCATAACCCGACCGGTTTTTACGGCAGATATTTGTGGCCAAATGCAAACTGAGCAGAACATTTAATCAAGACTTGATTTTGCTATGACATCAGCTGGCTTGGTCTAGTTCGACATAACACATTGTATAACCCACAAACATAAAAGGAAGGTATGTAGATTACATAACTGGAATAACAACATTAATTATTAAAACTCTATCACAGACCAACTGTACAGCATCAGTTCCCAACGACAACGACTGCTTTTGTGGTCGACAGATTCTCTTGGACGATCTACTAAACTTATTTTGATAACTATCTGCTGATGCTGATGTTTGGAAAACTGGCCCGTCTTCAATGTGTGTGTGCATTTATTTGTGTATGTGTGGCAGTAGCTGTTTACAAGGCAAACCGATACATCAAGGTCTGCCATTGGACTTGGCTCTGTTTTAGCATTTCCTCTGCCCTATTTGAATCCATAGTTAATTTAAATTTAGCTTAAAATAAGATGTTAATCAAACATTTTTTCAATTTCTACAAAACCTGACGCTGCAATAAAAAGTAGGGATTTGTACTTGACTAGAAATCTGCTACCTGCATTAAAATAATAGTCAAACAACATCCAGAGTGCAAAGGACCTCCAAGCATAAACTATGATTAATCCAAATTAAGACAAAGCCTTTGTGAAGTCATTTCTTAATCAAATGAAAGATTAAAGCATTTTTAAAACTACCTTTATCCACAATAAATAACCTGCACCAAGCTGGAATAAAATGAGCAGTGGTATATATTTAGAATGAAAGATCACAACAAGGTCTAGATTTAACTTCCTTTTTTAGTTGTGCTTTGACATTTGAGGCTTTTTACCTTTCTGGTGAGACAAATCAGTCGCTTCAAATATTTACAAGTGCATTCAAATCTATTTTTGTGGCGAGCTGGAGAGAACAGAGAAGCTTCAGAGCCATGTTGGATGTTAAAAAGCTTGTGTGACAACCTCACGCTGCAGAACGAGTGTTGAATCTGCTTGTGTTTTCCTCTGAGCATGGACCACTTTGACTTTAACAACAAAGACACATTACCAAAGTTTCTAAGACCACCTCTTCTATTTTAAAATGACTCGTCAGACCTTCTTTACTATGATCCCTCCATCATTTCCTCTCCTCGTCTTCATCTTTGAGGACCCTGTTAATTGCACCTCACTGTAGCCTAGTAACTGCCCTGACCTAGTTTCACCGTTGCCATCAAACCCTTCACAAACGCTCATAAGCCACAAGTATGACAGAGGTTTGTCTCTTTGTCTTCCGGCGCACTGTGAACATGTTTGTCTGTGAGACACCTCAAGGTGAGTTTTGATTGTGTGTGAACATAATGGGTTAACACCAACCAATAGATGTCTCCCCCGAGCTCCTCAGTAGTTCAAAGGCTCCGTCTTAAGAGGTTACCATGGTTACCTTTGGAGCGGCGCTGTTGTTTGGGCGTGTGTGTTCTGATTGCCTGCTGTCACGTCTGAGTTGACGCACAGCGAGGGTGGCCATTACCGGACTACAAAAAGGGGGGGGGGGGGGGGGTCCTTGCAGCGGATCAACGTCCCCCAACTGGCAACCAGGAGAAGACTACTTAAGAGGATGTAGGGGGGAAAAGTTTCCCTACCTGGCAACCATGGTGGGGATGTTTTTGACTCAACCTGTTGGAAACGTCCACAATACATCAACACTGAGCCTGAGAAGAGCTGCAGCACCACAGAAACCTGGCAGACAAAATCCTTCCTGGAGCCAAATTAAAATAGTCAATCAAGTGTGGTACAGTTGTGCAACTTCACTTAAATACTGAAACCAGCAGGACGAGGGGAACTTAAGTAGACAAATAATGACTCCTAATTTATTAGAACGGGGAGATAAATGAATAGTTCAACATTTTGTTTTTCCAGGAGTTAGATTAGAAGATTTAAAAAAATGCAAAGCATGAGAAAATGTAGTGGGGTAGATGATTAGATGTTGTGGAAGTACCCGAAAATACATCTTCTTACCTAAAATTGCATACAGATACATGAAAAACATACTTTAGTACAGTAAGGTGTAACTAAGTAAATATACTTCATTATTCATGTATATTTATGGTACAAAGGCTACATGCATGTGGTTTCTCGTCTTATTGACCATACAAGTGCTTTACACTACATTCACATTCATCCATTCACACAAACAGATCCAGCACAACCACATTTGGAGAACATCTGGTTCGTGGACGACCCTCTCTACCCCATGTACCACAGCGGGCTGGCTAAACTAAGCTAAGCTATCAAGCTTCTGACTGCAGGCATCATATGTATTATGTATTGTATTATATTTCTAAACATGTGACACTATTGATTCAAAAGAGGTGGAAATATGAATCGGTTCTGTTCTTAGGGACTTTGTGGATAGAAGAGATGTGGAGAGGCTTTGTGAAGGAAGGTATTGAGATGAAACATCGTCATCACAGCACACACACACAGGAAATAAATCAGACTGCAGACTCAGTATCTGAAAGACTTAAATGATATGAACGTTCTGTTAACACAAACACACACACACACAGAGACACAGAAGTGTTTACCTTGCTCATGTGAAACTCCAGACGTCTCATGTATCTCTCAATGGTTTTGATTTGCTGCAAAAGACAGACACAAGATTTACTGCTGCTGACAAGAAAGTGGCTACATGTGCTTTACAGCTGTACAAATAATGATTTGTTTGTCCATACCATAGAATATAATGAGGTACAGTTTGAAATACCAGCTCTCCTGCTCGCCCATCAACCACTTCTCCCTCTTTGATCAGTTTTTCCTACATTATTCCTCAGTCCCTTCAGCCCCTCATTTCATTTCCTTCCTCCTTTCAGCTCTTCTTTTTACATCAAACATTCCCCAACACCAAACTCAGTGGCTGTTACAGTAGAGATCCTCCCCTCTGTCAACTCACCTTGTCAAGATCGTACAGCACTCCCTGGAGAGAAGAAACACACACACACACACACACACACAGAAAAACACACACATTTACACAGTTAGCACAGGATGACAGCTCAGGCTGCGTAAGTGATGCAAAGCAGACTACAGTTGTCTGGCATCAAAAAAGATTTAACGCTCTTTTCAGTGATTCTGAATGCGTACAGTACGTGTGAGAACAAAAGTGATGTCGGCTGCAGAAACATTTGCTCTTATACTTTCACACACTTCTTTGGAGTCCAATAATCCTATAATGTAACATTTCCCCATTAGTTATGCAGCCTTATTTTTGAGATGAGACTTAGTGAGAACATATCATCGGTTTCTCACCAGGCGAGAGTTCCTCTTCATGTCCTTCATCAGAGACATGAGTTTGTCCAGCTCTGTTTGATGAACTTCCAGATACTCACTACAGAGCAGAAACAAGAAAACACTTAGTGTGTAATGCAAATGCGTGTTTACAGATTAGTCTATCAATTATTTTCTTTAATATTCAATTTATTGCTTTGTCATGTAAATAAAGTTGAAGAATGTCCTGATCATTTTAGATGGTCCTGATTAAACACAGTTAAGTTTCTTGTTTTATCAAACTAAAAACACAAACTACAATATGGCACAAAGAAACACATTCAATCTGTACATTTGAGGAAATAGAATCAGCAAACATTTGGTATTTTGCTTGGAAAAGATAATATATCGACTAAATATTCAATCTCTAAAAGTCAAAGAATTTCTCAAAGTAAACAAGTAAGTTAGAAACTATAATTATTAACATGTATGAACTGAAACTGTTACCTCATAGATACTCTAGAATTAATATTGTTATTCTTATGAGGAGTGTGTGTTGACAGTGTCAGTATACATCAGCATATGAGTTACTCACTCCAGGCCTTGTTTGAGTGCAGTGTAAACCTCCTCCAGTCTTTTGGGCTGCGGCTCTCTGGAGCTGCTGCCTCCCTTGTGTCCTGACAGGTGAGGCTTCTTGGGTTTGGACTGAGGCTTCTTCTGCACAGCGGAGTTCCCCATGAAGGAGTTACACCTGCACAAACCAACGCACAACAGGAAGTGTGATGGATGGTCCACCCTGGGCTTGTGGTTTTTTCTGTCCAGCACGCAGGATAATTTTTTCTGTCTACTGTGCAATGACTTTAAACACATTCGTTTCAAAAAAAAAAAATCTCATAGAAGCAGGAGAAAGGATCTAGGTCTGAACATTCAGTTTAGACGAAACTTCTATAAACAGATTCTGCAAGTGAAGAGAATCTGTAGGTGAAGGACCGGAGCCTTCTGAAGTATTTCACATAGATCTATATTATAATATTAATATAGCCTTAGATGAAATGCCTGTAGACTTTTATAACGTCCTTGTGAGCGTGCCCTTGTGTTAGTCTCAGCGTGACTGTATCTCATTTGACAGACATAAACATAACTCGGTCATACAGGGCTGACACGTTTAACCTACATTTTATACAATCGCTCAAACTCCCAGCATCACCCTCCGAGGTGAAGCTCCTCATCAGTCACATGACTCTGCTAGATCACAAGTGTGCACACATATCTGCAACCACGTGCAAACACTCTCCGACCTGTATAAGGCCGACGTGACCTGTGCAAGCTTGTGTCAGGCTGCCTTCCTCTGCTGGAGTGAACGCACAAACACACCGAAGTTTCCCTCTCTCTCCCTCCCAGCGATAAATGACATTCAAGTGTTCTTCAGTCTCTCTTCCACAGTCCTCCAGCTGTTGACCAGCATTGTGACTGACTCCAGGGAAGAGGCAGAGTGAAATACAGTTCACTGGTTGATATGTGTAAATGAGAGGCAGCTACAGTGGTGTCACATATTTACAAATGTGTAGGACTAAAACAAACTATTTTCATTAGAAATCAATCTTCTGATTATCCTTTCCAATCGATTAATCATTTAGGCTATGAAACATCAGAAAACAAAGCCCAAATGGTTTCAACACTATATGTGAGCAGTGCAGCCACCTCACAAGGCTTTCCCTCTTCACATCATTCTTATTGTAGGTCACCATCATCATCACCCTCCCATGCACATTTCAACTTTTAAAAGCATTACAGATTTAGCTGACAAATGACATTTTTTCCCTGAGACTTAATGAAACAATCCCGGAGTCATCTCGGGGACGTGGCCACGGCCGACTCCAGCGCTCGACAAGTTGGAATGTGCTGCGTCTTCTGCTGCACGCCAGCAGCACCACTGAAGCTAAGCTGCCACAAATGTAGGCCAACACTGAATCAGAGCGCCGCGTAGCCTTGGGGTCACGCAAGCTGTAGTGCAGTAGGGTCTCTTGGCAGGGACACACATAGAGAACACACACATATGCATACATGGTAACACAATTCCATACTGACTTATAATTGTGGATTTGCACACTGGCGCACAAACTACAAAATTTGCAGTATGCGTGCATGCATAAATGCACATGAAACATGCACATGGGTACACTCTTGGAGGGTCTGAGGCATCGTTCCACCTCGCTCATTATCAGAATGGTAACTTGTCAGTCACTGCTGTCAGTCGCCCCCACACCCGAGTCGTTCCAACCAATTACCCCATTCAGCGTCTGAGCCGAGAGTAAAGAGGGGAACAAGTGTCTTCAAATAGGTTCTCGCAGCAGGACCAGAGCTGCTGAAGAGAACCAGGCGCTGACAGACGAAAGTCAAAGATCCTAAACGAGATATTTCCAGGACGTGAATGTGAGAGGTCTTTGTCTCGGTGTAATGGAGTAAGCGCCGTCACTGATGGGAAGAACGCAGATAAAACTCTTAGAACTTTATCAACATCCAACTTGTCACAAGTAACTTGCGGCTGCAGATGAAATGATCAGGAAAGTGAACTTGTTGTATGACTGAGCAAAGTTCCTTAACGGGATCTTAAGACTTGCATGAAGGTTGGTTCCAGGTTATCGAATTAGAAACGTGTGCGTCTTTCTGTGTGCCTGAAGCCTGCTTTCAGTGATGTGTAAAAAGAGCAAAGAGCTAAATACACCGTCACAAGCACATACAGGTTTAGTGGGATTTAATTCAGTTTGATTCTTGTTGTGTGTAGTGCAGCTGTATTTATAGAGGAGCATATTGAGTCACCAGCTATTATGAAAGCATGACTGACGGTGAAATCACCATGGTTACCGCTTTTACATCAGAAGCTTTCACATGTTATCCGAGGACAAGGCACAAGTTCTTCAAAAAATAAATATAGATTTTATTACATTTTTTTTGCTTCTTGCAACTTATTGGACGACACTAAATCAGTGGAACAGCCCTTTAAGAATACCAATGAAAAAATGAGTTCCCTTAATGCTGGTATATTATTAAAATGTTTAACATGTTTTCTATAGCAGAGGTTCTCTATTTTTTTTCAGATGAGGACTCCTCTACAAGATACAAGAGACCCCATCTGAGAACCACTGTCCTAAAGAGCTTTACACTCAAATAAATACTCTATTTGAGGATATGATATTTAATCGACTTCACTGACATCAGCTGACCATAGATCAACAGCTTCCAAGATGTCTGCTCACCGTGAACGCCGTTCTTGTAGCGTGCTGAAGCCGGCGAAGGACTGACTCCGGATTATGCCATTGGGCCCACCGGGGGAATGGGTGCCGGCCGCCATGATCTCTGGGAGTTGGGACGCCACACCTAGAGAAAAAAACAAAACAAACAGACTTACAGATCTGTTACATACACAGACAATATTTAAACAAGGAGTGAATGACTAGAGTCGGAAATATATCATGTTATGAACTTTATTAACACCCAAACCATGTCAAAACAGAGGGTAACTGGAGTTTAGTGAGCATTGTTGTGTAATGCAGCACAAAGTAGGTACTGTTACTGATGCTCACCATGTGCGATGTGGATAAGCAGCATTCAGAGCCTGTGCTGACATGTCTCAACTCCTCTGGTTTACCTTTCACCACTCAAACATGCTTCCACTGTTACTGTTGCAGATTCTCCAACCTCAGGCAGGTGCCACACAACATGACTTATGTAACCTTACATAAAGTGTGGTGTGCATCTACCAGAATTAAGATTTAGACTCATCTCCAAACGTGATGCACCAGAGTGACAGCTGTTAAAAAGACAGAGTCACAAGCAGAATTACCTTCACACAAAGCCCATTTTTGCTATTTAGAATTTTAAATGAAATTAATTCCAGCAAAGCCAATCCAAACCATCCTTGGTCTGAGTTATCTAATCAGCCTCTGTTTTAGTAACGACATCTTTTATCAGAGTATATTTAGCAGCAGCAGTCTGTCTGATTTCAACCTTTTCTTTTTTTAAAGTTGAAGATGTAACACGACTCACGTGGGCACTTTGGGGAACAAGCTGAAAATAGACGGAGAAAGGTCCATCTAAAGCTTTCAGATAATGTTTTAACAGAGACCAAGTGCCCGGAGGGAAGAGTCCACTGAGATAACTCAATCACTGTCTCGACCAGTGTGATGAGATTGTGTCCAGATCAGGGTAAAGTGTATCTGTGGTGCCGCAGTAATCTCTGGACTCAGGTTACCTTCAGTAAGAATGGTTTCCCTGGTTTTCATCGTACATCCATCAGACAAAGTACGCTACACAAATATCTTCCTCACATTCCACTTTCATTTTTCATGTTTGGTTGGAATTTGAAGTGTTAGTTTGACCTTAGCCTGAACCTTACCCTCACCCTAAGGCCTCAATTATATTCTTTACAGACATGCACATGGTTAACTGCGGACACCACAGACTTGTAGTTTGTACTCGTGCTTAACCCTCAACCGTTATGGAAATGGGTCCTGGGCCACTGGCAAAGTTCCTGCAGAACAGCATCATTCATGTGCTACTGATCATGTGCACCATGGGCCACCTAATACAAAAACACTCCAACCAAATTCAGACATGACAATCATGACACTGGCTCAGCTGACTAACATGCTGACCGCTGTAGAGAAAAACAAAGAGTCGTTTCTGTGTTTTTAATGTGTGTCGCTTCACAACTGAGCTACATGAAAAGTATCATCAGCCTGTGATGCCTCAGTGTTCAGCTCTTACCAGTTCCACAACTTTATCAAGGTGACAAAACACTGCACGTTTGTGTCCCTTCATGTGTGTGTCATTCTGTTTGAGAGGCCCCGTGTTGTTTTTTCCACTTGTCCATCCATCTTGCTGTCTCCTGAGGACAGACTATCTCTGTGTGGGGGGGGGTTGGCTTGGGCTCATGTTGTCATACGAATGCGAGCATGTACACACACACACACACACACACACACACAGATACACACTAAAGATTACTGCAAGTGATTGAACCAGCAACCTGATACCCTCCCCCTTTGGTTTCTGTGATGGACACAAAGACCCGACACGGGACACGAGGAAAGACTAGATCCATGTTCAGTGGTGGGGGACAATGGACCAGTGAGACTGATACTGTTCAGGCTATTAATAGCAGCAAGCTCGCTTTAGCACTGACGACCCTGATAGCTATGACTCAGAGATAGAAAAATTATATATCTTGTTTTGTTATAAAGCCTGGTGTTTTATAAATGAGACAAAATAGGGTCTGACCCATTTATTGATTGGCGGCCATATATGTATTACGCCCACGTTTGCTGATATGTGCTGATATGAAAAGTTAACAGTAAAAACAATGCAGAGAAACACATTGGAGATGTTAGCCTTATATAATGTATGTTATATTATATATGAATCATTTTAAAGTCAAATGGAAGAGAAATGTATCCAATAACACGGTGAGGTCATATCATAATGATATGATTCTTCTGAAATACAACAACCATATTACCACCTCAGCATCATCACGACTGGCAGCAGGTAAAGGTTTTCTACAGGAGAGCAGCAATTTGTTCTAATGCTCTGAAGCACTTTAGTCCATTTCAGTCTGTTGATGTTGAGCAGCTCAGTTTTCTGCCCGGCCTTGTTTGTCTCTCTGACTTTCTGACTCACTCTCCTAAAAGAGGAGCGGTGGGAGGAAAATGATGGTACATTTTGTTACCTAATGTTCACTGGGGAAGGACATTGCTTTTCCTCAAGATTCAGACGAAGCAAAACAAGGGAGAACGAGAAGATGTGGAAACTGAATAAAAATGAAACACAATGATACCAGATGGTTTCAGCCGTTCAGTTTCAAGTCCCTTTACTAACTCGATGTTCCCAAATGGTAACAGCAGATAGTTCTGCCTCGACTCGGGGGAATAACACTAGTGCAGCTTTTTGTCACCAGAGAGCAGATGTAGAAAATAGCTTCACATTTACCTCAGAGTTACACTTTGTGCTCAGAAAACTCCAGGTGGGAATGGTGTCTGCAATTCACTGTTTGTCCTACATTCATTTTCAGAGACTTGCTCACACACGACCGGATAAATGTGTCTCTTTATAAAAGTGTAATCATCTTGTCTCTTCTCTCCCTCTATAAAAAAAACAACATGTGTTTCACATATTAAATGTGACAATGTTGTTTTATGAAATTTTGTTTGAACAAACTAATACATTTCAGGAGGAATTGATTTGGAAATTACATTTGTTTCCTCTTTCTTCTTTTTTTATGTGATATGTTTGATTTCTTCAAAGATTCCTCCCCCTGAGGTTTCCTCTTCAGTGACTGACTCACTTTCTTATACTTCTCCTCATGTTGTTATTCACCAAAGTCTCATTTTTACATTGTCTTGGCATTTTAAGAACAAACCAACCAACAATTTAAAGGTAGTGATTGACAATCAGTTCACATCTGTGCTTACGAGGCCAACAATAAGATGTGTGCAGACACATCTGCAATAAGCTACATCATATTCATTTCTAAATGGTTTAGTTTTTGATGACTTGACATTTTACTATTAATAAACAGAGCCCAGAATGCAGATCTATTGAAGCAAATGAGAATGCACATAGATGGACATAAATAAAAACAACAATATGATATCAGGTTTGTATATATCAACCATCAGCCCCTGCAAACATTAATCAACCACAGTTAAGAGGGACTTTCTTTTCCCATGAAAAGCAGTGAAAAAGCCATTCACTCTTGTTGATTTTCTTCCCTGCATTTACAGCAATCACATGAGGAGACAGGTTATATAACAAATCATGAGTCGTTCTGAGCTTCTCGTCTGTTCCTGCACAAACACCAAAACACTCAAAATACACTCATTGTGCCAACTTCACTCTCCTCTTTTATACAGGAGTCTCACCACACACACACACACACACACACACACACACNCACACACACACACACACACACACACACACACACACACACACACAATTAACTCTTGAATAGCCTGAGTGTGTGTGTGCGGGTGTGTATATATATGTAAAAACCTGTGTCAGCCCACAGTGCACGTTAACAACAGGAGCCTAATTCTTAATGCCTGTATAAATTAGCCTCACCATGGCAACAGCAGACAAGTAAGTGTGTTACGTAAAACAACTGTTATGAGCCAACTGCCAGAAGTAGGACACACGCCCTCATGTTACAGGGGCCGAGGCATTAAAAGCACCAATCCGTCATTTGGAAAAAAAACTGTTTTTATACTTGGATCTTTTGCAGATGTTGTTTTAAATGTGTCTGCAACTTCATGAAAAGGGTCCTTAAGCTTTTTATTTGAATCTCATTGTATTTAATGTGACAGGGAGCGAAGATAAAAATAGAAAAGAAATTTAAAAAATAACGCAGGGCCAGGAGACAGTGTGTGACAGGATGGAGAAGTCTGATTACAAGACACAAACGTTGACTACGTTGGACACCAATATTCTGACAAAAGTCTGAATAAGACACTGACATTTAACGCCATTTTCAGATCAATTAACCCAAATAAATTCATAGTCAGAATGAGCAATAATCCTGTATTCTGACTTTAGCTGCATTATATTTTCCACAAATCCCAGAGATTATAGTCATGATCCACTGTCTATATGTGACTGGAAATAAGAATATTTTCCATCACACTGTGCAGGTTGCAAGCTCGTGCCTGAAAGCTACTCTGTTATCCCTCGTGCTGACATGCTTTGTGTCCATGCTTGTGTGAACTGGTTCAGTGATGAGTGTAGCCTCTTGCAGCTCCAAACGGGGCTAAAACTGGCTGCTGGCTGCCATCCCTCAGCCAGAACACACAATATTGTCTCTTCCAGTCTTTTTGTTTTCCCATAATCCTTTTCAAAACTGAAATCAAGAGGGTGAGACTGACTGACTTTGTTTTTTTACTGGCACAGAGCAGCTTGTTATGAACTTCTTAAATGGCCAAACCACAGTCAAAGAGCTAAGGTGTATTTAACGAGCCCACACTGCGCTGTCAAATGACGTAGGTAAATGAAACGTTCCCTCAAATATCCCCTCAGAGTGAACAAGTTAAGATCTGAGACTCGCAGTGAGACATCCTGAAAGTTTCAATATATAATCCCAAACCTGCATCAAATTTAATTTGAACTGAGATGGAGCATGTTTTAATCCCACTCTCATCTGAATGCATTGGAAAGAACCAGTTTCAAACCCAAACATGATGCCTGCACAACACACACAGGAGCATAAGCACAAGCACCAGAACGATGTGCATATAAATGTGAATATACAGTAATATACAGAAGTAATATTATTATACTACTGAATCCAGGATGTGACCATTTATAGCTATATAACAAGACAAAAT